CAATGGAAATTAATTTTTAACAGATCCGTTAACCGTAACGGAAAAAAATTAACCGTCAGCCGTAAAAAAGTCAAAATATTGACCATTAGCCGTAAGACACTACCCCATTTAGACCCCCCTCTAAACTTTTTTCTTTTCTGCAAAAGTAGAATGCTTGTACCTTTCATCTTCAAAAGTAAGATGTTGTGGGTTCTTAAGGCGTCATGCATGCCAGGTCCTTCTTCACGTTTCGCTTCGGAATACAAAAGTATTTTAATTTTTAATTTTTTGTTATGCCTTCCTGATCGGTTTCGGCATATGTCACTGCAATCCGTAAATTTTATATCTTACACACCTGGCGTTAACTTGTTCAGTAATTTTTGCTCACCCTTATACTTTGGTTTGTTATCAAGTCTTTGCATTAAAACTCAAATATAAAGTCTCAATCTTGCTAATTTTTGTCCGTGATTTTGTCTCTCCGGGCTCAATTTCTTCCCTGCTGTATCTGTCAGTCATTTTCAATTTCATCGTAAAATTTGTTTTTGCGCTCAATTTCACCGTTTGGCACTCAATATCTCATTTCTGTCCTGATTTTGGATTAATTGACATGTTATTAAGCAAATCAGAATACAGCAAGTTGTTGCTTGCATATCATAAAGCACGAAATTGTCCCATGCATACTGTTGTGACAAGAAGTTTGCTACCACAGGGTCATTTCAGCCCGTTTGATTCTTGTTTTGTTTCCCTCTGTTTCAAAACGTGAACTAATATATACACTGGCTTTCGAAGTGGAGGTGCTTCGTGTACGAGTTTTGAGCACTTGGTTTTCGAGATTAATGGCGTCGTTTACCAATTAGGTGCTACGTCACGTTCAGCGTTTTTGAAAAGTTCCGTGATGCCACCCGTAGCTGGCGTGACAAACGTCATGAATTGTCGATGTCAGTTTACAGAGCCAAGGCAAAATAAACTAAAGGAGCGAGCACGAAAAAACACTTCCTTCTTTCTAGATATATACCATAAATAGCAAAGGTACGTTAGGCCTCGTCCACACTTCCCTGAAGAAATTTGAAAACTCAGCATTATTCCTGCGGTTGGGCCTACCGTCAACACTACTCTGTCACCGACTACAACGAAGCTTTTCGAACTCGCTCTTTCAACGGAGGTATTCGAAAACGCCGGCTTTGCGTTTTGTTGTAGACGGAATTCATTTTGAAAACGGAGCTTTTCTAAAGGGAAGATGACGACGTTTCCTCAAACGCAAATTCATTTGTTGCGTTTTCAAATTTCTCCGGCGCAGGGTGGACTGGACCTTAGGTAAGTCGTTAAAGGTCAAATGCAACAGGGGCCCGTTTCTGGAAAGTCCCATTCTCGTCCCCAGAGCCTCCGTTTCTTTTGGTCACGTGGTCTGAGAAACGGAGGCCTCTGGTAGCAGCCATTACCGGATGTCCGTAAATCACGGACATCCGGTAACGCATGC